CAAGGTATATAAAGATCCATAACGTATATAGCATACTACAATGTATTCCAGCTAGCGTATATACACAGTACATCTGTCTCCATCCCAGAACATGATTAAAATTAATTTATTTGTTTAATGTGCAATCTGCGATGTGCGGTGCTAGTTCATCTTGAGAACAAATTTATCGCGGCAACTAATTATTGATTTCATTATGGCAGGAAAAAAATAGAGACGTATTTTGGACGTGCCAACATATATCGAGATCCAGACCATATATTGCGTACTACAGTGTATTCTAGCTAGCGTATATATGGAGTATATATATCTGTCTAGATCCCAGAACATGACTACAATTAATTTCTTTGTTTAATTTGCAATCAGCGATGGGTGGCGGTTCATGCCGAGATCAATTAATTCTTGGTTTCATTATGGCAGCAAAAAAAACGTGCCAAGAGAGTAATCCCCACTAACCTATTTATCTTAACATGCAAGCATGCCACATCATCATATAATTATGAATGGAATAAGGCCCACATTAACATGCAACCATGCATCATAAAGACCCATCACCACATGCAACCATTCATGGGAAAATAATTATCATTCTATTGTTCAGCTTATATTCAATAAATATTTTATCAAATATAATAAGTCATATTTTTTTTTGTTCATGTGTTCTTAATCTAAAAATTTATATTCCACACAATCAAATCTCATTCAAATATATTGCAGCCAATTCCCGCAGCAACGCGTGGGGCGCCATCTAGTTATATATAGAGATCCAGACCTTATATTGCATACTATAGTGTATTCCAACTAGCGTATATATGGAGTATATTTGTCTCGGTACCAAAACATGATTTAAATTAATTTCTGTGTTTAATTTGCAATCAACGATGCGCGGGTGGCAGTTCATCTTGAAATCAAATAGTTCGTGATGATTAATTCTTAGTTTCATTATGGCAAGAAAAAACAGACATATTTCGAACATGCCAAGATATATAGAGAATTAATTAGTTAATGTATATATATATATATCTTATCTACTCTTATACACTAATAAAGCAAGGTGTGTTTTTCCGATTAACTCATCCTTTCACTTCTGAATTATTATTTTCCAAGGTGGTAACAAATTTTTGTGTGTTCGTCTGTTTTTTTTTTTGAGGCAATCTCGCGAAGCTTTTTATTTAACCCGTCACGATGTTTACAGGGACGAAAGTAAGACCTCCTGCCTGGCCTAACCATACATGGCGACCAGCACCTAACTTTAACGCATGCTTCGCTAGATTGTGAGCTTCTACATTAGAGCTCCTAAACTCATGCACTATATTACAAGAAATAAAAAGAAGTAGATGACAACTTGATCTCTTGTGGGCAACTTGATCTCTTGTGTGTTCGTCTGTTAGAAAAGCAAAAGCGGTTCTCCAGAATTCTGTATGTGGGCCGCACGTGCTATGGCCCAGCTAAGCCAGCCCACTATTTTCCTGCCCACGTAGCTGGGAAAACTATATTTGCCGCATGTGCTGGCAAATAGTCGCAGCCTCCCACAGGGTCCTAAGATTGGGCTGGCCCATTTTCCTTTCTTTGTTTTTTCTGTTTCTGTTTTTCATTTTTGTTCCTTTCTCTTTTTCTTTCATGTTCCTTTTTTATTTTCCAACTTTAATTTTCTTATTTCGGTTTTTTAATTCGAAATTTTCAAAAGACTTTCGGAATTTCAATTGTTGTTATAATTTTTGAAAAGTGTTCAGAATTTCAAAAAAATCCCATTTTGAAAACTGTTTGGAACCTCTAAACTTTTGTTCTCGTTCCAAAATTTGTTCAATTTTTTTAAATCCCATTTTCAAAAAAAAATGTGTTTTCTGAAATAGTTTGATTTGAAAATAATGCATTGTTAGAAATGTTTCAAATTCAAAAAAAAAATCTTGTTTTAGTGAAATGTTCATAACTTCAAGGCAAAAGTGTTTTAAATAGTCCACATTGCTTCTTTACATACAGTCGTACCAATTTATATACATGTTCGAAACTACCTGTACTAATAACTGGATGAAGGATGGATGGATTAAGTTGGATGAAGGATAGATAAATTGGTATGCGAGCTAGCTGGAATAGGACCCTGGATCTCTTAAACTGAAAAAAATTCCCATTTTTTTTAAAAAAAATGTGTTTTTCCAAAATTGATCGAGATTTAAAAAAAAGATAGCATTTTAAAAAATGCTCGAAAGTCGAAAAGTATTCTTATTTTAGAGAAATGTTCACAAATACATATCCGCATTAAAAAATACACATTTTGTAATATTGTTCTGAATATTCAAAACATGTTCCCGTTTTCTAAAAATGTTCAAAAATTCAAAAAAAGTTTGTGTTTTTATAAAAGGTTCATGTTTTCAAAAAATGTTTGTGAATTTAAAAAATATTCCTGTTAAAAAATGTGTTTTTCCTAAAATGTACGGAATTTTCAAATAAAAATGTTCCCATTTTTTAAAACAGTTCGAGATTTAAAAAAAATTCATCTTCCAATGAATATTTGGCAATTCATAATAATTATTATTTGAATATAAAAAACAAAAAAATTAAATCTGAGGCTATAGTATATTCTTAAATATTTGTGTTGGTCATTGGTTAGCAGGATGTGTTTGTTTGCTGGCTGGCAGCACTTTGTCAGGTCTTTGAGGTTGTGAGTTCGATCCTTTAACTTGTCTTTTTTTTGGATTTTTACTCGTGCCTTACAAACACATGTCGTTTCGGTGCCTGGGCCTTTCACAGTCCACGCAACTTAGCCGGACTAACTATCTGGGAAATAAGGCAAAAATATTTTAAAGAGTCTCACATTGCTCCTTTACATACAGTAATACCAATTTATATATGTGTGCGAAACTACATGTAGTAGGCTAGATTAAGGATGGACGAATTAAGCTAGACGAAGGATAGATGGTATATGAGCTAGCTGGAAAAGGACCTTATTTTTTAAAAGAAAATAAGTCTAGTACATGAGCTAGATGGATAGATTGCTACGTGAACTAGTTACAAAAGGACTATGAGCTAGATGCATGGCAAAGAGAAGACTCCCGTATTGTGGAACTTCACATCTTAAATCCCGTCGATCAACGAATGGAAAAATAGCGGAGTAGAATTAATTCCGTTTGTACTATATTGATGGCTTGTACATGGAAAAGAGAAGGCCCACCTCACTTCCATATTATGAAACTTCATACCTTAAAATCCCCTCGAACGAATGAAAAAAATAGACTGACTAATTCGTGAGCCTTCTCTAGCGTGCGATGACCTAACAAAACCCTTAAGTCCCCTCGATCATGAACCAAAAAGTAGCGGATTGATTATTCGACATGCGGCGAAACCCATAACCTAAATGTTCCTTCTCAGCATGCACACATGATTTTGCTTGCACATATAATTCTCATTAAATTTGAACGCACACTATTGTTTGCTGTTTTTTATGGTATATATGCATGCATGATTTGGACCAATTTTGGCGGGGATTTTTTGACCAAATTTTGTATGTACTGCATTCCGTTCCTTTCTGCGACAATTATGTGTTCCATCAAGAATTAGTTAGTTTTAACTATTGTGGACAATCTGGGGTTTTTATAAATAAATCTATAAACCGCTAAAAAGCTGGATGCACATGTGAGCACCTCATTTTCCCCTCATTGTAATCACGAAAGAAAATGTTTAAGCAGTAATAATGCTCTTATCTGAGTTCTATATTATATATATCTAATATAGAATATTTTAGGAAACTGAAACACAAGTATGTAAACTAACTTCCACAAATAAACTTGTCACATGGAATTTTTTTTTGTCTCTCCTGCACACCGCACCCAAGGCATCTCAGGCCAATTCCTATTCGGCGCCTTAAGCCCCTGCTACAGGCATCACCGTACGCGGTGTCACATCCCTAAATCGACCAGTTTTGATAAGCTTCTAGAAGCTTCCGACCAGTTTTATTTCATTTGTTTATTTTGTTTTCCATTTTTCATTTTCTTTTTAATTCAAAGATGCAAAAAACTTAATTTAACAAAATTTTCATTTTAAATTTGGAAAATTTTAAAATTCTCAAACCTCTTCAATTTCGCATATTTTTTTCAAAATTGCAAACTATTTCCCTTTTTGTCTTTTTTCAAATTAATGAACTTTTTCATATTTACGAACCTTTTCGAATTCAGGATTTCTCAAACTTCATGGACTTTTTTTAAAATTCATGAAGTTTCTTCAAATCCACGAACCTTTTCACATTTAAGATCTTTTTTCAAGTTTATGATTTTTTTTCATATTCCTATATTTTCAAACGGCCAACGGCCAACGTTGGATACTCAACTAGTCGACCGGTCAATCAAGCAAAAGAAGTGGCAGAGCGTCCAAGCTACTCACATTGTTGGGCCAGCCCATGCAAGGGGGGGGGGGTGAGCATGAGCGATGGATTGGCTGCTCGGCATTGAAGCGCCGACTAGGAGGTCTCACATCCTAGTCCTTGTCTTATTTCTTAATCTTAGATAGATCATTAAGCGGATGGTCCTAAGCAGGGGTGGATATAGGCCTAGGGCTAATGGAGCTGCAACCCTAGCCCTTTGGATAGAAGTCCCAAAGAGACATCTTTTTTATAAGCCTAAGCATAGTAAGATTTACGACTAGTTCTTTTGGCGGCTTGAAAAATAAGCTATTTTCTTCCTAGCTTATCCCATAAGCCACCTCTCTTATTCATTGGAGTAGTTGTGGGGAAGCAAGTAGTATTTGATTTTAACTCGAATCAAAGCTTATTTGAAGTAATTTTAGATAATTACTCTATTGTTGGAGTTGCTTTTTATATTCGTGGGCCAAAAAAGAAAAGGTGGGCGAGGAACGAAGGGAAGGGAGTAAGCAGCCCAAGCCCAAAGCCCAAAGCCCTTGCTTGCTTGTTGTAACCCAAATTCCCCAACCCACCCCGGCCAGCAACCCCAAACCCCAGACCCTCAAAAGAAAAAAAGCCCTAGCCAGCCATTCCCCTCCCGCCGGCGACGGCGATGGCGCCCGCCCGGGCCGCCAAGCGCCCCAAGCTGGATCCCCCCGCCGCCTCCACCTCCTCCGCCGGCGCGCCTCACCAGCGCGGCGACGACGACTACGTGCCGGGCAACATCGTGGAGATCGAGCTCTGCAACTTCATGACCTACGACCGCCTCGTCTGCCGCCCCGGCCCGCGCCTCAACCTCGTCGTCGGCCCCAACGGCTCCGGCAAGAGCTCCCTCGTCTGCGCCATCGCCCTCGCCCTCGCCGCCGACCCCGCCATCCTCGGCCGGGCCGCCAGCGTCAGGGCCTTCGTCAAGCGCGGCGAGGAGTCCGGCCACGTCCGCCTCTCCCTCCGCTCCCAGGACCAGGGCCGCGACATCGGCATCACCCGCAAGATCGACACCAACAACAAGTCCGAGTGGCTCCTCGACGGTACCCCCTTCCAGTAGAGATCCCCTTTTCTTGCTGCTTGCTCAACACCATAATAACCATATATATATATATATATATATATATATATATATATATATATGTAGGAGTACTATTCTTGCTGTTTGCTCAACACCATATACAGAGAATTCATTCCTCCGTTTCCCTTCCTGCAGGCGCCACCGTCCCCAAGAAGGACATTATCGACGTCATCAAAAAGTTCAACATCCAAATCAACAACCTCACTCAGGTCTGTGTGTCATCCTCTTCTCTTCATGGATGGACTAGGCGACTGCATAGCTATACCTGATGACGGTTTGTGCTGTCTCTCTCGATTTAGTTTTTGCCCCAAGATCGGGTGTGCGAGTTCGCAAAGCTCACCCCCATCCAGCTGCTAGAAGAGACCGAGAAGGCCGTGGGCGATCCCAATTTACCTGTTCAGCATCGCCAGCTTATAGAATGGAGCAAGGAGCTCAGGATTCTTCAAGTGGTAAACATCAATCTTCCATGTTTTCCGCAACATCTGAAGCTAGCTTCTCTGGCTTCATTCATACACACGGTCTCTTACGTACCAGCCAATTGATTGACCGCCGAGCTTGTGTCGAATAATTTCAGGCCGTAAAGCAAAAGGAGCAGACCTTGAACAACCTCAAGGCCCTCAGCGCCGAACAAGAAAAAGATGTCCAACGTGTCCGCCAAAGAGATAAGCTCCTCAAGAAGGTCCGTTGTATTGTTTCTCTCTGATGAATGCCATTGATATAGTCATTTAAATTCCCATGACATTCTCATAATACTCTTTGCTGGTTGATTCTGCCGTAGGCTGAGCTAATGAAGAAGAAATTGCCGTGGCTCAAATACGACGCCAAGAAGGCGCAATTCCTTGAGGCGCAGGAGGAGGAGAAAAGTTTCAAGAAGAAAATGGATGATGTAACCAAAATCTGGCAAGATGCAAAAGCCCCCATCGAGTATGTACCACAGCCAATAGGATACAACTCATGTACTCCCTCCATTCCTAAATATTTGTCTTTCTAGAGATTTCAACAAGTGACTACATACGGAGCAAAATAAGTGAATCTACACCCTAAAATATGTCTATGTACATCCGTACGTGGAAGTCCATTTGAAATCTCTAAAAAAAACAAATATTTAGGAACGGAGGGAGTACTAAATTTCTTCACTTGCCAAGTCACTTTATACATGTTTCTGGAAGTCCCTAGTAGTATTTGGTTCGGTGTTTTCCCTTGTGTGCTGTATCTGATATCCCTTTTCAACACCTTTTTAATTCGAATGCACACTGTTTTGCTGATCTGTCACTTTTGAACTAGTATCCTTTTAACACTTCTGAACTAGTATTCCTTCGTACAGAAAAAAAACTTAACTGGAACTCAATTTCTGGTTACATGGGTGATATATAGCATAATGCTTAATTTTGAGATTGCATTTCTGGTTCAATAATGTTTCTATTTCACGAAGCAACCTTGTGTGTCTTCTTGAGATACCTAAGATTGAGGTTCTGATTTCTAATGGAATACACATCTTCTTTCTTTACCCTGTTTATATAGAGGGCTCAAGAAAGAGAAAACGACAATTACTTCAAGTATGAAGAAGATAGCCAACCAAATAAATCAAAACACAAACAAGCGTCGGGAAGTTACAGATGACGAGATTCAGCTGGTGCGTACCCCCCTTTTTCCCCCCGCTCAAATCAGCTCCTGAGTGCAGTTTGGTCTGTTGTCAATCCTTGACACATTTCGTTGTATCAGAGTGCACGATTGAAAACCACGCTTGATGACATAGAAGATCTGAAAAGGCATGAAAAGAATCTGCAACAAAAGATCTCAAAGGCTAAGGAAGGTCTTGCTGCTGCTGAAAGGGAACTTCAAGATCTACAACCATACGAACCACCTAGAGATGAAATGGTTAGTTTTGTTACTTTAGTTTCCACGATCTTTTGCTTTCCATGATTCCATCTGTACAGCTCAGTTGGCACCTATAACCAACTGGTATCCTATCCAGTCTATGTGCTCACAATAACAGTGTTCATGAGCAATGGTATCTACACCTGTGGCTAAGTTATTTATTTTTTGCAGACACAACTAACAAATGATATTGGACATAAAATTTCTGGCATAAACAAGCTGAAATTCATACGGAAAGAGAAGGAGCAGCAGTTAACACAAGAGAGAGAAAATCTGAGGAAGTGTTCTGATAGGTATCCAGCTTATCAACTACCATCTACACTATCCGTGACATGGATACCTAATGCACCTTTACTACAGGTTGATGCAAATGGAAAGTAAGAACAATAAGCTACTCCAAGCATTGCAAAGAGCTGGTGCTGAAAGAATCAATGAAGCATACTCTTGGGTGCAGAACAACAAAAATATGTTCAGGGGAGAAGTTTATGGGCCTGTTCTCCTTGAGGTTTGTTTAGTTGGTTGTATGCCTACCAACTGCTGCTTTCTCTGCATCCAAGATTCTTATCATGATACTCTCTTTGACTGATTTCAGGTCAATGTTCAGAGTAAAACTCACGCTGGTTACTTGGAAAGCCATGTTCCAAACTATATATGGAGGGTACTGTTACTATGATAATTTTTCATGTTTAGTTGCTAAATCCTGGTGTGCATACTACTTATTGTTTTCCTTTACTTTAGCATTTCCACTGAATATTCTCCCTCAATTCATGATATGGTCGGCTAGCATACCTAGGAGGCACACATTGAAGTAATACTTTACAGGACTCAGAGCGCATCATGCAGTGCATTGCAATGCTAAAAAATTATTTAGGAAAATGAACTACTCTCATCACTGATCCTGCTCTTAGGCAATTTCAGTAGAATCAAATTATTTGGCAATGTCAGGTAACTTGTGGCATTATTAGGAGATGAAATTGCTATGCGTATGACCTTGGAACTATATATCGAAAAATCCAAGCAACCAAAGAATCTGCCTTGGAGAACAACATTAAACTTGTCGTCCGGCTGGCCAGAAGGCCGTTTGCTAGTGCTAAAGTTGAGACATAACTGGGCATGACGTACTGCTGGTACCAGTGCTAGAGCTGGGGTCGGGCGGGAATACCTGTACATGTTTATGCAACACCCATGCCTCGCTCTGGCACCTCTTTCTCGCTGTCATACATGTCCGAGAAACCTGCTCATTTACAGAAGAGCGATTCCAACATATCAGACTTTGCAGATAATCAATTATGCTGTGTTAACATCAGACAGTCAATCCTAAGCAAGTACGGTCTGTCAAACTTATAGAGATAGTCCTATACTCCTATCCTATCGAATGCTACTTGCATTTTGTGCATCCTAGGTAGTCATGCTCGGCATATATTATGAACTGGAGGTAGTATTCGAGGCATATATTATGAACTAGGGTATAAAGCAAGGGGTCTTTGATCGAACCGTGGCAGGTCTACTAGTGGATGTAGGTTTTTTGCCATTGTGCACTTGTCCTATGAATGATTAATGTGCAGAGTAGACTGATTGTCCAGTCACTGAAGATGATTAGTGTCCAATAAGACGGCATGCCTGCAAACTTTTTTTAGATATTATTCCTTTGCTTACTGTCTGTATTTCTTTTGCAAATCTTGTCAATTATCTTATTGATTTCAATGTGAAAACATTATATCTGCAACAAATAATTGCCATTTCGTTGTGTGTGCCAGTCATTCATTACACAGAATGCTTCCGACCGTGACCTCTTGGTTAGACAACTGAAGCAATATGGTACTCCTATTCTGAACTACACAGGGGGCAATAGCATCATGTGTGAGCCATTGAACATTACCCCAGAGGTCAGCACCTATATGCCAATCAAAATTAGCATTTTAGGGCATCGATGTTTGTTACTTATTGTTTCTCTCCTGTTTGTTTTATGAGCGCTATTTTGTTTTGAAATCTTTCGTGTTACAACGTGTGCATTAAGAGTTAAAGCTAGTTTCTCTCTCTCATTAGTTTCATCGTCTTCTCTAATTGTTTATGCATGAACAATTCACTTCACCACACAAATCGTCATCTCTTATCTTAGGTACACACTTAATGTGAGGACATCATAGTAAAGTAATCGTCTTTGACTTCATCAATATTGGATCTTTCTTTATCGTTGTTCCCAGTTAAAATGTGCTCAGCAAAAATAAAACCGAGGGGTTAAAATTTCAGTCTGTTAATTTTCATTTTGGCAGATGAAGCAACTTGGGATCACATCAAGACTCGATCAAGAGTTTGATGCTCCTCCTGCTGTAAAAAATGTTTTGATTACTCAGGCTTCAGTGGATCAATCGGTATACACTGCTTATATCCGGTTCATGAATCTGCACCAAGTTGCACTGGTTATGACTTTAAAGAATTTGCTTCTTTTTTATGTCCATGCAGTATATCGGTACAAATCAAGCAGATCAGAGCGCAGATGATGTGGTAAAGTTAGGTATTAATGACCTTTGGACTCCACGTAACCATTATCGATGGACCAGATCAAGATATGGTGGCCATTTGTCAGCAAATGTAGATTCAATCTACCCGTCGCGCCTCTTCATGTGCGGTATGTATTATGATCGCAGCCTTGATAAGTTATTCGCTTATATGGTTCACCTATGCCTAATGCTTGTCAGCTTTTCTTGCAGACGTGAATGTTAGTGACATTGAAATACTTCAATCTGAAAAGGATGAACGCACAAAAAATGTTGAAGGCATGGAGGAAGCCTTAAAAGAGCTCCAGAAAGATCAGAGAAAATTAGAAGATGAAGAGGCAGAATTCCGCAAGAAAAAGGTTTCAAATATTTTAATGTCACTAAATTATATTCAAGTATATCCCAGTTGTCTCTGATAATGGCTATCTTTTGATTGTCCTATTATCAGGAAGCGATTACTGACAGGGTGAGGATTGAAAAGAAGAAGCGAGAAGACCTACAAAGGCGTGTTGGTATGGTACTTTTTCCCCTGTTCTTCTACATGTTGCTTGTATAATATGTTGTTCTTCTATCTAGATTTGAGAAGAAGAACTCTGGAGGACATATCAAAAGAGGAGGATGTGGAATCCAGCACAAGAAAGCTTACTGATCGGCTAGCTAAGTTAAATGATGATCGATTTCGAGCATTGCTAAAACTCAAGGTTAGTACCTCGTAAACTAGCTACCAATATTTCGTTTATCTTGATCATCATCAAAGACTATGTTCTTACTTCAACTTGATTTTCATCCTCTTAGAATTTACTTGTTGAAGCTGTTGCTCTCAAATGGAGTTATACAGAAAAGAACATGGCTTCTATTGAGCTTGATACAAAGGTATGCTCATTAAAGCAATTACATATGTAAAACTGACTTAAATTGGATGGCCTTAAAACTTGTATTTTTACATCATATTACATTGTACCTAGTAGGCCAGTACACATACATAAATAAATTGCACTGTTGGAAAGTTTGCAGTTTACACCCAATTAATCATCACAATTGTAGAATGTTTCTGTAAGATAATGGTTCGTTCTAGTAGTTTGGTGCAACTTCCATCAACAGTGCACAAACCAGAAATAATGGCATAGGAAAATGGTGAGCTCATTCAACAACAGTAGATGCTCATATTTAGGTTGATCCATGTCTCTAAACATTCTCGTGACATGAAATTATTTGGCCTGGTATCATCAAATGGAAATATTAAAAGTTTTGGATACCCAACGTTTGTGTGTGTTTTTCTCTTTGACTGTTGTTTGCATCTCATAGATATGGGAGATGGAAAAGGATGTGAAGAAACATGAAAAGGATGTTGCTGGCGCTGCCAAAGAATATGAAAACCGTGAGTTGTTGCTAAAATCAATTGCATATCTGTTTTTAACAAGTATATTGAAAATATTGCTAGTGTAGTCAACTAAGCTGCCAGAAAATATCTTTGAAGATATTAGTGGGTAGAGCGATTAAGCTGTTCTTTCTTCCCTTTTTCCTTTAAGATTTTGCTATGCTGTGATTTCTTTGGGTCTACAGTTACCGGGCACACGTTTTATGTAATAAACACCATGCTGCATACTCATTGTTTTGCCTTGTTACAAAATATCAGTGAATAACTTAGTAGTTTTTACTTAATTTTCAGCATGATTTTGTGTGTTACTATGCAATATGTTGTTGCACTGCTTGCTGATCGACTACTGTTATCACTATATGTCTGCATGATCATATTACTGCAAACATGCACAAAAAGGGAGATCAGCAAGTCATTATTTACAATAGGAATGTTGTTTTACAAAATGACCTTCAACATTGTTTGCTGCTAGCCGGTTAGACCCATGAAGTTCGTAAAAGGCCAGGCCTCAGATAACTTCGCTGGCAGCAAGCCTGCGCAGGAGCTTGTCACTGAAGACTTCATTATCTATCCAGTCAATTAGTCAAAGATATGAATATCTTAAAGAAGATTTGTGCTTTAATTTACAAGTTTGTTGGTATTCCTTCCTTGTAGCCGGGCCTTTTGACATATCTTTCAAAGCATAAACACTTCCTTTGTCTTTGTAGTATTTGGCCCAGGATCGAAGTTCACCATACCTATAATCTTGGAAAGTCAGTTTCTACCCGAAAGATAACTTGTTCACCAAACCAAACTGTTGCAATTGCAACCTAGTCCTTGAAATCCAGCAGTATATTATCACCAAAATAATGCTGGGAAATCCCCATTTGGAGCTTCACTGAGAAGTTATACGTGCATATGCATTTGTTGAATACCTCTTGGCCTTCAAACAGTCAATATTTTATTTTGGCACTTATTGCAATTGATCAGCTGAAGCAAATTTGCCTGGCCATTTTTTTTTTGAAATAGATCTAAACTGAATAGTTGATATTCCTGACGTTGATTGACGGATAGTTTCTGTGTTTCATAATGGCTGTTTCTCAAATTTTACCATCAGGTAAAAAAACCACTCAAGAGCATAAGCAGGTGATGCTTAAGGCAAAACAGCATGCAGAGTCAGTATCTATGATCACAGACGACCTTGCAAAAGAGTTTGAGAAGGTATGCCCTGAACTAGTTTTAATAAACTCCGCCTAAAATTATTGTAGTATTTCAATTTTTTGCAGTAGAAGTTCAACATATAAGAACTCAAATGTATAAATGATGAAAATGAGACATTTGGGAACAGAACAGAACAAGGTTGTAGTATCTATGCTTATTGTAGTTTCATTTTCTATCACAACTATGGTGGTGCCTAGTGAGTTAGAAGGTATAAACTTTTTGATGCAAGAGGTAGAAATCTCTCTACCTATACTAAAAGCATCAGAAGTGTCACAACAAGGTTAGAAAGTGCAATGGAAACACCAAGTGCGATCACCCTTCAAGACTTCAACCATTGGAGTGTGTATTTTGTCAATTATTTGATGTACCTTTTCTTTTGGTTTTTGTGCTTCCTGATAGAGAGAGAATGGTCAGAACTCTCTTTGAATCTTACTTTGATACCCCAATTTTCACAATAGGGTAATGGGCCAATAGTCTCTCAGCTTCCAACCCAATCACCAAGAGTGTTACTCTTCTTATAATGAAAGAAGTTTATTCGATCTTAGTTCCTTAGAATGCCCCCCCTCTACAAATCCTCATTATATGTGCTTGTCAAGAATTATCTTATCATGGCCATATAATAGTGTCTGATGCATTACTGTTCATGTGTTTGGATTGGTTATGCTGCTTTTGCGTCTAGCCCAGCCATACAACCTGCAAGTTTCTGTCCATTCTTTGACTCTGCAATACCCTATGTGCTGGTGTTTTCTTGGACCAGATAAAAACCTGT